TTTAACACTAACAGTGAACAAATTAACAAAATTACTAACAAACCAAACCACACCCCCTTAACTACTAGTTATTCCCTAACTGAACCAAATTCTATTGGTATGCTGTTCCAATAAACACAAGTCCCACTTATATGAATTCAAGTAATAAGAAAACAAATTAAAACTTAGTCTCTCAAAGTCTGCACGCCTTTCTTCTGCTGTTCTTAAGTCATAAGTGCCTTTCTTCTGCTGATCCGGCTGTCAGGGATGATTTCTCTGTGAAGTCTTTTGTGAGGGCTCTTAGTTAAAAGTGCCATAGTCCCTTCTACAGCTAGATCGTGTTTTCTTAGACAGCCTAGTGATTTCTTATGAGAGCTCGATGCTTATTTCTGAGATGGCGGTTTGCTCTCACACCTATTTTCAAAAATCCCCACCTTATATACCTTGGATGACATATCAATTTTCTTAAATGTCATTGGTCTGAGATTATCAAAACCATCAGATTTAAATTCAATTGGCTTTCAAGCGCTAAGTGCTTGGTTTAAATTAATTAGATGATTCCAGCTAGTTGCCAAAACAGCAAAACAAGCATAAGGTTTCCAATCACATAGCCAATTGTTACATGTTTCAATTTCAAAACTGGCTGTACCCCTTCTGCTGCTTAGACACATTTTCTGTATAAATCTCTAAGCTTAGAAAAGCACTTTACCTCTTAAAAGGAGCCACGCGCTCTTCTCCCTTTTTTTTAAACAAACAAATTCTAGCTTCCTGCCTTCCAATTCACAATTACTCTAAATAACTTTGTAACAGCTGAATGGGACAGATTTTGAACAGATGCAACAATTCAAGACTGGATATCCATGGAGTCCTGAAGGCCATCTGCAACTTCAAGGCCCAGCATATTCGCCACTCTACCATTACCACCAAGCAATGCAACCAATCACAGTTCAATGTAGTGTGTAGGAGAGCATGTTAGAATCAACATTATGCATACTATGACGTGGAGGTGCCAGTGTTGGACTGACCATACCTAAAATTGAAATGTCAACCTGAAGCCACAACAATAGGACTTGCACACCAAACAGCAGAAGCAGCATGCAAAAGACAGAGATAAGCAATTCCACAACTAATGGGTCAGGTCAAAGCTCTGCAGGCCTGCCATATCTAGTCATGAATAGTGATGAATCCATTTTTGCAGATAGAGGCCATTCGGCATATTGAGACTGCACCAAACCTCCAAAGCCATCCCACCCAGACCCACCCCACCCCCATAAACCTACACTTACATTGGCTAAATCACCTAGCCTGCACATCCCTGGAAACTACAGGGCAATTTAAAATTGCCAATCCACTTAACTAGCACATCTTTAGACGACAGGAGGAAACCGGAGCACCCAATGGAAACGCATGCAGAAACAGAGAGAACATGCAAACTCCATGGCAGAAGGAAATTCCACAAAAATCCCCATCACCAATGACTGGGCAGCCTAGCATATCAGTGTGAAATATAAAGAAAATTTGCAAGCATTTTCAGCCAGAAGTACCAAGCGGAAGATCCATCTTGCTTTCCTCCTGTGCTCCTCAGCACAGACAACCAGCCTTCAGCCAACTCAATTCACTGCACATGATGTCAAGTGGATGAAGGCACCAGATATTGCAAAGGCTTTGGGACTGTGACAATATTTCAGCAATAATAATAAAGACCAGGACTAACTACGCCTCTGGACAAGCTGCTCCAGTACAGTTACAATATTGGCAGCTACCCGACAATGTGGTAAATTGCCCAGTTATGTCCAGTCTACAAAAAGCTGGATAAATATATGCCAGCCAATTACTGCCCCGAAGTATAGGACAGAATCTAACTATCGGCCCTTGCCATTCAATGGCATTACCATCACGGAATCCCCATAATCAAAGTGCATATAAATACTGTGACTGCAAGAACAAGAAAGAAGTTATGAATTATAAAGCAAGTAATTCACCTCCTGACTCCCCAAAGCCTGTCCATTTCAAGACACAAATCAAGCATGTGACTTGCCTGGATGAGTGCAACTTCAATAACACTATCCACGGTCAAAGCAGCTCTCTTGACTATACCCCTACCTAACACCTTCAACATTCAAGCCCTCCACCAACAACATACAGCAGCAGCAGTGGTCACTGATTTTGATGTTCTTGAGAGTATTGAGGAATTCTTGAGTTGAGTGAAACACCTAGTCGATGGATCACTCCATTCGATCCTCTCAACTCAACTCAAGAATTCCTCAATACCCTCAAGAACATAAAAATCAGCGACAAGATATGGTATCAGCGATATGGTATCCTTTGATGTCACAGCATTTATACACGTCAATTGACATCCCACTAGCCAAACAAACACTGGCCACATTACTAGAGGAAGCGGGAATGCAGACCAGCAGTTCCTCAGCATTGACAACATACTCAAATTACAAGACTTGGGCCTCACCACACACTTTGTCTTTAATGGTCAAGTATACAAATAGATCAATGGCACACCCCTAGGGGCACCCATCTCAGGACTCATTGCAGAAGCAGTCATGCAAAGACTAGAACACACTACCCTCCCCCTCTTTCAACTTAAACTGTGGATCTGGTACGTGAACAACACAGTTGTCATCATTACTTAGTTCAACGTAGTTCACAAAATACCGTGCAATAACTGCCACAAGCATTACATTGGACGGAAGGAAACTAGCAATCAGAATACACGAACGTCAAATAGCAGCAAAACGACGCAACAAACTTTCCCTAATATCAGTAGACTCGGATAGTGAAGGCCATCAGTTTAACTGGGACAACGTAATCATAGTAGCCCAAGCCAAACATAGACACGCACGGGAATTCCTAGATTTATGGTTCTCAACCCATAATGCAATCAACAAACATATAGAATTGGACCCCATGTACAAACCCATACAGAACAAAACCTAAATGACACAACTCACCAATAGACCGGACAGTATAAATTCCGAACGGAGCAGAATAATATCTCTTCATTGGAGGCCTCACTGATGATGTTACCTAGCATGGTGACGAAACATCTGAACGAAAACAATCCTGCTTTGAACGAAAACAAACCTGCTCAGCGAGCAAGTCAACAAACTCACTCATAACTCGAGTTATAAATCTTTGCAAAAACCTTTCATTATTTATACAAATGATTTGGATATGGAAATAGGAGGCTTGGTTAGTAAGTTTGCAGATGACACCAAAATTGGTGATGTCGGGGACAGTGAAAAAAATTTCTGATTACCTCGATCAGACGGTCCAACAGGCTGAGTAGCAGATGGAATTTAGTTTAGTAAAGTGTGAGGTGTTGCATTTTGATAAGGAAAACCAGGGCAAGACTTATTCTGTTAATGATAGGTCCTGGAAGTGTTGCCAAAGAAAGAGACCTAGGGTGCAGGTGCATAATTCCTTGTAAACGGAGTTGAGGGCAGACAGAGCGTGAAGTTGGCATTTGGTTTGCTTGCTTTCATTGGTCAGTGCACTGAGTATAGGAGTTGGGACCATAATGTTGCAGGACAGTGGTGAGGCCACGTTTGGAACATTGTGTAGAATTTCGGTCGCCCTTCAGTAAGAATTATGTTTCTAAACTTGAGAGGGTGCAGAAAAGATTTACAATGATTTTGCTGGGATTGGAGGGTTTGAACTAGGGAGAGACTGAATAGGCTGGGGGCTTTTTTCCCTGAAACATCAGCGGCTGAAGGGTGACCTTATAGAGGTTTATAAAATCATGAGGGGCATGGATAGGGTGAACAGCCAAGATCTTTTTCCTAGGGTGGGGGATTCCAAAATTAGACGGCATGAGTTTAAGTTGAGTGGGGAAAGATTTAAAAAGGATCTGAGGGGTAACTTTTTCATGCAGAGGGTGATGTGTATATGGAACAAGTGCCAGAGGATGTGGTGGAGACTGGTACAATTACACTATTTAAAAGGCATCTGGATGGATATATGAAGAGGATAGGTTTGGAGGGAAATGAGCCAAATGCTGGCAAATGGAACTTGGTCAGATAGGGATGTCTGGTTGGCGTGGACAAGTTGGTCTGTTTCCATGCTCCATGATTCTATGACTCTAAATGAAATACAAATACAAATCATTGCTGCAAGGAACAAATACCATTGCTGAAGTAAAACGCCATGTTCTGACTCAAGTGACCAACATTATGGGGAATCTATTACTTTCATGTAATTTCACAAATGATCCAAGTTACTCAAAACTTTCACCAGACAATTTTCATGAAAACAAGCTTCTCATACAACAGCAATTCGAAAGATATATTACTTTGTGTCAGACATAACGATAATAACTTAGTACCATCAACCGGTTAATGGTAATAAAATTTCTTAGGACCATAAGCAAAACACATGACTAAATCACATGAAAATCTAAACCACCTCATTCTGTTCATATTTCTGATTGCTCGGGCAGTGTCAGCAACGCTGCCAAACTCAGAATATGCATTTTGCTATATAAAATGACAGCTGATCAAAACAAAATTGCTAAAGCAATTCTCCTGACTGAAACTCTTTTAGTTTCATGGCCTTGTATCTTCTGCTACATATCCTGTACATAACTCTCAGTCTATGCATGTTTTTGATAAATCTCATTTTTGACATCTAAAAGCTCATTCCTGCTTGAAGATTAAGAAAATATGCATTCCAATGATGGCACGTGAACTAACAATTTCTAAAAATTTAATTTCTATGCATTTGACTCACAATTATACTTAATTGATCTGCTGCAGGCAAGGAAGATTCCAGACAACACTTCATTAACTACATAGTTATTGATTTAAATTTCAAAGGATCCAAACATAAAACATTAAATGATTTGTTTCCAGAAGCTGAGTTAAACAGAATGCATTTCCAGCATTTGCTGTTTCAGATATTCATCTGTAGTATTTTCTTCTATTATACTTTAGCTGCCATTTTAGCAGATTTCCTTCCATTATTTTACATCTCAGAAACAACTCCAAAAACTCAAATTTTAAGCCCACCTGATTTTCATCCTGGACAACCCGAAACTGTTCCTTCCAAATAGTCATCTTAGCCACCTCATCTTTCCGGAGTGCTCGTTCCTTCTTCAGCTCCGGACTCCAGAAAGTTTTGATGCTGTTCATTGAGGAGCTGAGCTTACTTTCTTTTACATCAACCTCTTTGCGAAGCACATCGTTCTCACGAAGGACCTCCTTCAACTGTGACTGCAAATCCATAATGGTATTATCCCTAGCTTGCCGCAATGAGTGTGGTACAGTAGATGCCAGGCTTACTGTTGGCAAAAGCTGTTCTCCAAAAGCTATACTATCACTGGCCACACTAGTAGTGGCAATGTTAGGGCTACTTCCCATGGTGGTCATCCTAACACCAAAAGGTGAACGTCCAGAAGCTCTACCCAATGTCATTGTTGCTTTAGAGGAATCTGTACCAACATGGTCATGGTCACTTAGGTACATAGGGCCAGACGTAGCATATGCAGCATTCAACGACTGTATGTTCTCCATAGACAGGGTTTTCCCACTACCACCACCAATGCTGGTACTAGAACCGCCCCCAGTGCTGTTTGTTCGACGGTGACCCAAACGTGGTGATCGTGGCAACCTCGGTGAGCGTCCAGGGCTCTGGTTACTTTGCTCTACTTTACCCACTGACCGAGAACTTCCATGCATGGTTGAACAGAATTCAGCCGTCCGAAATGAAATGAAAATATTCCTTTATTTTTATGGGTTTATGTTCGCTAGTTTGTCAAATTCAGTATATTTTATTTACACTTAATAATACATCCAGGCCACTGAAGTCTCATCTGTTTAAACAGAAACAAAAAAAAATTAATACAAATCATATAATTTCTTAGCTTTTAAATTTACAATTCAGCAAAATAATTCAGTTTCTTGTCTATAAGCACCCGTTATGAGTGCTCAATTCTAGCCATACCAAAACAAAGATATCAGCAAATAAAAAGCCTTACTATCTCTCATGTTGGAAAATTTCATTGCATCACCTGCAGCACTGAAAATAACTAAATCTAAATGACAGCTCAAGAAAATGTAGTAAAAGATGAAAAAATAAACTAATTAAGTCTCAGAATTCCATTTGAAAAAGATCACTATTTATTAGAATTATTTCTGAACTAAAGATAAATAACAATACTGAAATATTTTGATTGGAACATTTGAGACAAATGATTAAATATAGGAACTTAATTGGCTTTTGTGGTTTAAATATCCCGTTTTTGTTTCAAAACTACAGCCTATCTCAAAAATCAAGAGTTCAATTATGTATTTTTTCCCTCCGAGAATAATTGCAAGGAGTAACCAACATTTAGTGTACTAATAACAGAATTTCCTCATACAATCAGTAGGGGCTGAATCTTAATCTCTTTCGGTTGAGTGTTAATTTTGCTGAATTTCACAGGGTTTCTCTCTGAGGCTGAGTGTGTGTTCTCATGATATCATCCCAAACACTGATTAACTACCTCCCTACCCCTACAGTGACACCTATCCAAGTGAGCCTGATTTTACCACTTGCTATATCAGAAAAATTTGCCAGGATATTTGCATTAGTGGCATCATCACCATCTGTAAATTCTGTTGTGCACTCAGTCTGGAGCTACAGTGCACAATTTATAATGTTTGTCTGGTCATAATAGGGGAATTTGGCACCTTGCATTTCGGACAGGGAACTGGGAGGTCCTGATGGATGAGGTGCCGCAAAGGAGGGACATTCATTTTGCCCACAGCCAGCAGAAGTTACAATGGGTCAGTTCAATCCAAGTCATCTGGAGCATTGCACAGTAGCATAGGAAGAAGGTCAATGACTCTCTCTGCTACCTCACATTCATTCCACCTCTGCTACTGCACCCACCTCCCACCAAGGCACATGCTCTACCACTGTCACCATTGCATGCAACATCTTTTCTCTCTCACCCTTACCATAATACAGTCAGCATCAACAGTGCATGGCCTCTGCTCACTAATCAACTTGTGTGGACCTTCCAAGTAACTGAGGGAAAATCAGTCAGCACATCCCAACTGAATGCTCTCTCTCCTTACCTAACTGAGGACTGTTGACAACGATGGCAAGCTTCCTGGCTTTGTGTCTGCACTGAACAACACGGCAAGACAGGCACACTGTGAGCTTGGCATCTCTGGCTGAAGGGGACAAGGCAAATCAGAGGTACAGTGACCATCCAGGTAGGCTCAAAATGAAGGCGTGCACAGAGAGCAGGCGAACAACTGAGATGCAGCTGGTCCACTCTGTGAGCCGGGTGCCAGTCCCTGTGCATAAAGTGCCCTTGCAGCAGCATTGCAACGATAATTGCCAATGCTCTCCAAGATGCAGCTTTAAAATACAGAAGCATTCTGAGAGGGGTTTGGAAAGGTACTGTGATAATGCAGAGAGGTGAGCAGATGTCTAATGCTAAGGTCTGTGGCTATAAAGTGCACGCAGCCAGCACCCATGTTCTGAAATGCTGGTGCCAGATGTACGCAATAGTGGTCCAGAGGAGCAAGCAGCGAACTGAAATCACAGTTACTCACTCTGGCCTACTGTTGAGAATTGTCAGCATCACGTTTCCTCACAGTGGGTGATAGGGATAGGCATAATAATGAAGTCAGATGTGCAGCTAGTGAGGCCAACAACAAGCAATAATCCCCATTAATAGGCATCTCACTACTGCTAATGAGAATCTTGACTGAATGCCTACAACTTAGAAAACTGAGCTAATTGCTCACAACACGTGTAAGGCCATGCTGGACTTCTCCCACATTTCTCATCACAGCCACATCATTTAGGCTCCTATAAATAGCCTCTGGGCTACGCTTCTTCGAATTCAAGTAGAAAGGATCAGACACCAGAACAATCGGAGTTGCCTAGCTTTTTCAAAAGACATAAAAACAAAACTACACTGAATTTTCGAACCTTTATCTGGCAAATTTTACTTCTCAAGTATTAATAACTGTTCCTTTTAAATTGAGCTGTTCAATATTTATCTCATATAACAGGAGGTGTCTTTTTATTTAGAACACAGAGGGATACTGTTTACTCAATGTCAGCCATGGCTCATCTTTGAATCACAAGATTTCAGGTCCAGAGCCTGAACACAAGCAAAAAAAAAAAAAATCAGGCTGACAATGAGGGACCATCCAGAGATGTCATCTTTCAGATGCGGCATTATATCATGACCATCTGCCTACTCAGATGGATGCACTGGCATTATTCTGAAGAGCAGCAGTGAGTTATCCCAACATCTTGGCAAATTTTTATCCAATCAACATCTGAACAACAGATATTCAGATCATTACCATATTGTTGTATATTGGAGTTTGCTGTGTCCAAAGTGATTGCCAAGTTTTTGACTTTATAACAATACTAGCACTATTAAGGTACTTAAAATGCCTTCATGCTATTTGAGATATCCACCGTTCAAGAACAGCATTATACAAGCGCAGATCTGAGGGATCTCATGGTGTAGTGGTGACATCCTTATCTCTGGGCCAGAAAGTCCCAGTTCACGTCCCACCTGACCCAGAGGTATGTTATAACATGTTCGAACAGTTCAGTTAAAAGTAAACTACACAAATACAGGAATTTCTTTGCGTTTATCATGAGAATAAACTGACACTTATCTAGATTTCAAATTTCAAGAGGATTTCAGAATGTTTTTGCCAAAAGATTTAAACTCAGCTGAAAAAATAATGTGAATATGTTCCATTTCTCTGAATGACCGTATCTGTGACCAATCAGAGCAAGTTATACTGGTCGTCATCAAGCAAGTCAGACATGTTGCAAAAATGTCTGATTTTGTGACTAATGCATTTAAGGAGAAGACATTGAAGTGGAGATTGAAGTTATTTTGAAATGCAAGATAAATAAAACACTTCATTTGAAAAACTGGTGAACAGACCTGAAGTAATTGCCATTTAAAACATCTGCCAGGAATCTTTAACAAAGTCATGGCTTGAATGGGAAAATATTAAACAATGGATGTCACTTTTTGGAATCCTGGTAGAGATGAGATGTCTACAGTTATCTTCAAAGGGGGTTTAATGGTCAATCTGGTTTCACCAAATGAAGAAAAGATTTGCGAATGGAAGATAATGAGTTTGAATCTCAGATATCCCATTGACACCACGTTGTTGTGGGAATAGGCTATGCAGGGAGCTGCCCTTGGGTTTTGGATCTATCTGTACATTTCCTGGCAAAAGCTATTGACTCAGGAGCAGCTTTGAAACAGGCAGTTTATGCCTGGAGCTGTAACAGTTTGGGAACAGGGAGAATTTTTTTTTGTAATGTGTAAAGAAGGTGCAGACCAGAAGCAAAGGCTTTCAGAAATCAAGATTCTCTCTGAGTTCGCATCACTAAGCAAGAGTGCAATGAAGTTGGGGTGTTCACAATAATGAAATTCTCAAGGAAAGTTTCAGATTCACCTAAGTGCTGGTGGAAGAACCTCAAGAAATCTCATACCGTAGAGAACTGCAGGAACACTGAGGAGAATCAAAACTAATTCCCAAGAGGTGTGACACACTTTCATGTGGCCCTAGGAGAATGAAAGGTATCCCTCAAGAGCCTGTAACGTGTAAGGAAACTCAAAAGGTGGAACTAAAAATAGTACAGGGAATGTGCCACAGATTGTTGTGCTTAAAATACAAGTGTTTACAACATATGGCTTTTAAGTTGGCATTTGTGTTTTTTTTTAATCTTTTATGGCAATTGTTTTGTTTGAAGTGATGGCTTGTCATAATTTCTTTCAGTTAACAACAGAGTTCATGTTTTTTGGAAATTTTCTGGGATCATAACAGACAGCAAATAGTTTTTGGGGATAGTTAAGGTTTCAGAATTTCTATTGCCAATAGGTATAATATATTAGAAATATTAATGCTGAGTTCAACATGGCTCACCATTGAGAAGGCAAAAATATTAAAACACAAACGATGTATCTGAACCAACTGCTTAAGGCAAACAAATACATTTTGGTCATTTCAGGAATCATTAATGTCTGTTCTGGTTGAGATTTATTTTACCTAACTGGTGTAATTGCTAGAGTGGTCAGGGGAGCTCGAGCCTCCTGGGATCAGGATTAACAAAAAGGATGGTGTGAACTATATTTTGGTTCAATCTGGTATAACACAGGCTGTGAAAGAGTGCTTCTGACTTGATACATGTATATTCTTCACGTTAACCTTGAAGAAAATGAAATAAATATTTCACTGTTGTACAATCCAGTAAATACTTATGTAGTGCTGATTGAGTGAACAGAAGTAGTAATGGAACACAGTCATATCTATCTTGTAAAATAAATTAGCTTAATTTGCTACTGAAGTTTCTTACCACATTGTCATCAGGCAGAATTCATGAATAAATTAGAGCTTTTTAGTCCACACCCTAAATGATAAATTTGTGTTCCTAACAGCAACTGATGAAATAGGCTGAGAAAGTCAGTCATGAGTTCAAAGTGCTCCTTTGCCTGCAAGCTACTTAACATTTCAACCATGATGGGAAAATTCCTCATTACAGTAAAATTACTATTTACTGGACTCAGCTGTTCATCAAATCCTCCACCAGTGTCTCCAATCTAAATGGTTCTCTGGAGCCAACATATTTTATCATTTTGTTAGGATCATATTATTAACCACATGCAACTCCAAATGATATTTCTCTCTCCAATAAGCTAATAAGTCGGGGACTTTTAAATCACATGAAGTTCCATCTATTCTATTTCATCTTTTCTGAATCAATCTCAAATAGGCAGTGAGGACGGCACAGTGGCTCAGTAGTTAGCACTGCTGCCTCACAGCGCCGGGA